CCCTCCGTGATTGTAAAGTAGCGATTAGAATGAGTCCTTCTGGCTGGTCCTCTTCTCTTCCTTGATTTATCCTCTCAATTTGTCTGTTGGAATCCCGCCTATCCCCAAGTTAGGGGAGGGCTTGTGGATTGGAGCTTGACCCATAATCCGGGTTGGTTTTGTTCTTTTTCCTCATCCAAAAATGGGCCTCCGATTCAAAACAATCTGTTTGGGCTTTCCTCTTCAAGGATATATTCTGAAAATGAGTTTCTATATCATCACCTTTCTCCTCATCCCCATTATTTGAGATTATGTAAATTTCTTTCTTTTTCGATTCTTGGGCTTGCATGTTGTCTGTGGGCTCGCAAACATAATAGTCCCCTTTCTTAACTGTTACCAATGTATTTGGGTCCTCCTGAGAGCCAGTGAAGGAGATAGAAAGATACTGATCCCAATCTTGATCCCACTCTTGGTCCCCATTGGGGTATGACACCACTGCAAGGGGAGAGGTGTGATATTGGGATCCACTAGTCTGATTCTGTATATCGTGTTTAGCATTAGAGCCTTGGGGTATTGTCACGTCAACATTGTGGCCGTTATGGGAATAAAGGGCTTTTTTCGCCAGAACTCTGCCTTTTCCTAGGCTTTCTCCCCCACCAACTCTTTGTCTTCTCCGGACAGCTGCACTTTACCCTTGAGTTTCTCCATTCGCTCCATATTATCCCTTTGCCTTTAGGGACCAAGTTACTTTGTGCTCGCATATCTAGGCCAAAGTGACTGTTAGAGCCCCATAAACGTCGTTCTTTGCACAGACTCTGGGCATGACCAATCCAACCACATTGGTAACAGAAGTTGGAGAGTCTCTCGTATTTCAAATTAATCCAGATGTCATCCTGGTTGTCGCGAGTCAGAAAGAACCCATTCTTCAAAGGATCGTTCAGGTTGATTCTACATTTCACCCTAAGGAAGTTACGTTGTATTTGAACCTCTCTTTCAAACTCCTCCAACAGGGTTGGTTCACCAATGACCTTGTCTATCCTCCAGGCATTGTTCTTGGTCATCATATCTAAGGGAAGCCCCCAAACCTGGACCAAAAATTCTGCAGACTAAAACTTAAAATCCCTAATAATGTTCTATAATTGATACGACTTCAACACAAGCAAAGCCCCAGAAACAGACCATGGGCCTTCGTTAAGAATCTTATCTCTGTCCTCCTCTTTCTTGAATATAAACATATAAGTATTCCTCTCCCATTAAGTTATTGAGAAGCCTTTAGACATTTTCAAAGAGCCTTGTAAAACATTGCACACCCCCTGTTTGTTTAAGTTCATGTCTGTAAAAAAACGACCCACAAGGCAAATGGAATGAGACTCCACTTCTCTGTCCTTGTCCATGGGGAAAAACTTGAAAGAAGGGAGATTTTCTGATGGAGGCTTGGTGGGAATAAAAGACTAACTAAGAGCAAANATCTCTCAACGTTCTTTGAGGTGGATGGGTTCATCTAGAGAGAAATGCAAGGGGGATGAATGGAATGAGACTCCACTTCTCTGTCCTTGTCCATGGGGAAAAACTTGAAAGAAGGGAGATTTTCTGATGGAGGCTTGGTGGGAATAAAAGACTAACTAAGAGCAAAATAGGTGAGGATTTTGGCTAAGAGAGGGCAACGTAAAAGGGGGAAATAAGGGAATAAAGTCAAACAGAGACCAGAGAGAAAGGAGTTTGGAGTGACAGAACTTGTATTGGAGAGACAGAAAGGAAGGTCGATAAACTAGCAGGTAATAGAAAATAAGGGAAATAGGGCAGTGGAAGATGAAGGGTTATTGTGGGTGAGACACTCAGGATGCAAACACTTAAAACCTACTCGGATAGGCAAGATAAGCAGGTCTGGGTCAATGATAAGGTAGGAAATCGATTGAGTGTCAGGGGAAGAAGGTAAGGAAATGAGAACAANTTACTCAGATAGGCAAGATAAGCAGGTCTGGGTCAAAGATAAGGTAGGAAATCGATTGAGTGTCAGGGGAAGAAGGTAAGGAAATGAGAACAGTGGAAGGCAAAAGGTTATGGTGAAAGGAAACGAATCGAATATACACGCAGAGCCTTTTCAGATAACACGAGACACCTTGGGAAGCTAAAGAAAGCGAGCAGGTCAACTAGAAGGTCAGACGAGGAAAGTAAATGAGGACTCTCAGGAAAAAACCCTAATTAGGGTAACGAGCTCTCATGACNCTACTCGGATAGGCAAGATAAGCAGGTCTGGGTCAATGATAAGGTAGGAAATCGATTGAGTGTCAGGGGAAGAAGGTAAGGAAATGAGAACAATGGAAGGCAAAAGGTTATGGTGAAAGGAAACGAAGCGAATATACACGCAGAGCCTTTTCAGATAACACGAGACACCTTGGGAAGCTAAAGAAAGCGAGCAGGTCAACGAGAAGGTCAGGCGAGAAAAGTAAATGAGGACTCTCAGGAAAAAACCCTAATTAGGGTAACGAGCTCTCATGACCAGAGAGAAGCTTTAAACCCTTATAATTCAAGTTCTCTATTTTATCTCTTTCACTTGTAATTTTTAATTCATAGTACACCAATTTAAATACCTAATTTGTGAATTGTAATTTGGGTTAGTAATCGAGTCGAACTTAAAAAATTGTTTAAATTCGACTTGATTGAAAAACGAGTCACAAAACTTGAACAAAGTCGAACCCGAGTCAATTCCAAGTTCGAATTGAATTTTACATATAAACAAATCAAACTTTACGAGTTCGAATCAAATTTTTTAAGCTAAATTTTCTAAACGAACTTAAAAAATTATTCTAACTCAAAAACAAACTAAGCTAAACTTGAACAACTCAATTATAATTCTAATAATCCATTTTGTAATTTGAATTCTAAATTTTTTATCTTTCAAATTTTTAATTTATTGTCGAGGAATTTAAATACCCTACATTTTCTCCATTTTTCATCAAAATTAATCGATGCAAAATATATAAATGGGTCAATTACAAGTTGTACCCTGAAAGATAGTTAGAATCTCAATTTTTACTCCTAAAGATTAAAAATCTTAATTTACACTCTCAAAAATAAAAATTTGTATCAATGTGCACTCACAAAGATAAAAATCTCAATTTGCACCCTCAAAAATAAAATTTTTTATCAATGTATACCTAAAACTAAATTGATAAATTATACCTAGAACTCCTTATACTTGTCACTTAATCATTTGGACTCCTTCACATTTAGAATATTAGTCATACATCTCATGACGTTTATGCACGTGTAACACATAATCTCTTTCATTGATATCTGTTAATATAACCGTTAAAAAATATAATTTTATCCTAATAAAAAATTTTAATATCCAATGATAAATTTAATTTTAAACTTTAAAATATATCAAACCCACAAAATAAAGAATAATATAAAATTATAATTTTTATAATATTATATTAACAGATATCAATAAAAAAAATTATTAACAGATATGAATGAAAAAAATTATATATTTCGCATGCACATCATGAATGTAAGAATAATATTCTAAATATGAAAAGATTCAATTGTAACAATAAAAAAATTTAAGTATAATTTATCAATTTAATCTTAAATGCATAATAATATAAATTTTTATCTTTAAAAATACAAATTAAAATTTTAACTTCAAATGTATACATTAATACAAATTTTTATTTTCAAAAATTAAATTTGAAATTTAAATTTGAAGTTTTTTATCTTTAAAAATACAAATTGAAATTCCCACTATTTCATGAAACTTGCAATTAACCCTATATGTTAAATTTTGACACTTAAACCTTCAACATTAGCCCAATAAAGCTGTAAATTTTTTGAAGGGCCAATAAAACTCAGAAGTTTAGGCAGAACCCAAGCCAACTACGGGGTTTGGAAATAATTTTCATCCAGCAATTGACACAAACCCAGGCCAACAAGGCGGTTTAGAAATAGTTTTCAACCAGCAATTGACGCGCCTCAATTAAAACCACACTACCTACGTCATTGCCCCCAAACACCAAGATGTTTGACTGAGTTAGCCTAACCTCCTTTTTATAGGCTATCTTCTATTCCGCACTTGTTACATTTCCGATGTGGGATGGATATTAGCTTTCCCATGCCAAGTCTATGCGAAAGTCTTAGACTCCGTTGTATGAACTGAATCAACTTACTTTGATCAACCAAACAGAGTGTGCACGAAGGTCAGTAATCGAATTCGAATGCCCTACGAATACTGGAAAGACGGTTCTTCTGTTCCTTTTGTGTTCCAAAGCTCTCCCCTTGGACAGCCGAGGAAAGAGAGGGATTGAAGGTAATGTATAATGTGTTCTGGTGATGGAGGATCTTGATGAGTATCACCTCTTTCCTTTTGCATTACTTTTTCTTGTTTATGTATAGGAGAATCCACCTTAAAAAGTGCGGCAGAGACTCTCGTCATTGTATAACTTGAATACATACAGTCTTACTCCGTATTTTCATATATTTTGAAATGTAGGCCCACTTCAAAATATCATTATTCGTAAGGCAATTCAAATTTACTCTCCAGAAGAAAATCTTAAAGGGTGAATTTGGTGAGAAATTCCCTAATAATAAAAATGGTTTTATAATATATTTTCATTATAAAAAGTTCCAACCACAACTTGAAAAAATCAAATATTTAGTATTTGTCCACAGCTTTGAATGTCTTCCAGAATGACTGCAACTTCCCATGGTGGATTTGTTCAGAGCTGAGCTCAGGAGAATTGTTACAAAGATCACGTCTGGTGTGTTGAGTGTTTGTGCCATTAGACAACCTTCTCTTACTGCATAAGCTTCTAGGAAGAGTCCGAGTCAGTCGGGATCACCTTAGCTTTTCCTTCCAATATAACCTACCTCATATCAGCAAAATCTATCACCTTGCCTTTATTTAGCAGTAACAAGTACTCGCTCCAATGGAATAATGCTTCTAGCGTATGAGGACACCAATAGATTGGTGTGTAGAAAGGTTACTTCAAAAATGTTGCTCAGTAAGGTAATATTTGTCAAAAGCTGAAAATTTTGGATGACTGTTCTAGCAAGGGGTCCAATGTATTTGGAGCAAACTTCCTTGCAAAGAGAAAACAAGGCGACGATGGCTGATCATTGTAAGTGCATGCTTGATCTTCGAGAATGTTCTTGAAAAATTGCTCTGTAATATCATCTTTCCCAAATGTGGCAGGATGAGCGCCACCCCTAGACCAATCCACAAAGGTAACACTCCTGTTTGCCAAGAGATGAGGAGATCGGATGCTAAGCATGGTCTGGAAATAGTGTTCATCCACATAACAAGCAGGTCTGCAGAACTGTTCAAACTTTGGGTAGTAAATGGTATCCTGGACAATGTCAACTGCCAGTTTTCGATTGATTTCAAACCACTGAGACCCTTTACGCCAATTTGTGATGGTGACCTCAGGAGCCATCTGATCATTATAACGCCCTCTACCAGAAGGTCCAGGGTCATCGAACGAACTCATGAAGCTGAACTGAGATCCTGATATGTAGTCGTAAACAAAGCTAAAGTTATGAAGAGGAATGCAAGACTCAGACAGGAGAACGAACCACTCATTGGAGAGATCAAGCAATGCATTAGCTAGGAGTCTTTTCTCAGCATCACACATATTCATCCTCCCCCACTCTGCCACCTACATAGATAAGAGTTCAGAAAATTTGAACAATGTTATCCAATCAGTAAAATTGCATAACAAGGCAATCAAAGCTATTAGTCAATACTAAATTATGTTAGCTAATTATTCATAATCACAGACTGCTAAACTGTCTTCTTTTCTTTTTTAAGTATAAACTAAAAATGCATGGTTCAATAAGCTTCTCCGGGCACTGGCTTGAGGCAAACGAGAAATAAGGAGACAAATGAATAATAAAAAGCAATTCCTTATTTGGGGTAGGCTATGAAAAAATACTACAAAAAAAGCAGCCAGCTTCATCTTTCATTCGGCCAGACAACCTTCTAAAGTTATTCAAGGCAGTAACTTCCACCAACAAATCAAGATGCACAATCAGTCATGATCATGGTACTAATTTCGACAAGTATCCATAGAGTGCCAAACACTTTTGTCCAGGGACCAAACAGATAAGAGGCACCTTCATGTCATATTTAGAAATCTACTATATCAGTTAAAGTTCAAAAGAAAGCTTCTAATTTGGCATATCATACTTATAATTTATTTATACAATACAAAAAACATACAGCCGACTAATTTAACTCAAGATACATCTGCAAGGAGGAGAAAAACTAATTTGATGAAGTTTCACTGATGTTTATACAATCTTTTGTGCCCATAAATTTCTTTTCTATGGTTCCACTAAAAGGATTTTCTTTTCGCATGGAATGGCGGAATATGATAAGTCCATTGGCATTTTACTATGGGAATAGTGAGTGCCTGGGGTTACAAGATAGACAATTAATTATTTTTGGCATCAAATTAAGCTCTGTGGACTCCTGTTTGTTGTGATAACTTTATATTTACTACTCCATTTCAGGTGAACGTGCCTACGTAGAACTAACCTGTGACAAGAAGTCCAGCAACAAATTTGATTTTACATCTATAACCAAAGAAGCTCAACAGAAAGGCATTTATGGCTATCAGAAAACATGGTTAGAAGGGGTGATCATGAACTATGCTAATTCTGATATGTTAAATACGAAAACCCCCTTCCAAATCCATTGCAGCAAAATCACATATTAGTAGAGGCATTACGCATCCTTTAACATTTAGATTAATATTCAGCTCTGAATAACGCTCTTGTTCCATTTCTCACCCAAAAACTGAGATACAAATTCACACGTTAAGAAAATAATTAGGCTTCTTAACTGTATCATTCCAAACAACCACGCATCCTTCCCAATGAGTTTGGGGAATAGTACAGAAATTATGTCAATATTTATATGCACTCCAACGCCATTTTATATGACCCAATTGACACCTCATCTATATGAAAAAAAAAAAAAGGCCAAATGAAAATTATCAAGCGATGGAGTTAAGAATTCATTGTGGACGTGCTAATAACAATCTCAAAAAGAGAGCTAACCAGGCAGTAACCTATCAAGGATGTATTACTTTAAGAATACTACAGAGAATCATCCATATGTAGACCTGGAGAAGAACAAAAAATTCCTATAAAATAAACATAGAAACTCAAACTACAGAACTTCCTTGAATATAAGAGAAAAGATGTTGTTAGCTGATACCTGACTAGGAATTTGCCTCTGGTAAAAGACCGATGACTGATTGAAATTTGCTTCATAGGATGGCTGTGTATGCAGATAAATTGAATAAAGCCCCTCATGCCCCTTAAAAAACCTCTCCCATAGAGGTGCTAGTGGCAATGGTCCTATTGTCAAAAACATGAAGGCAATCTTGGGAGTTCTCTTAAATGGGTAATCTTTCATTTGAGGAGCAAACGAAGCCCGCCAAAACAGTTCAGCATCATTCATCTTATGCAAGAGGTTTGATGGAGGCTTAATCCAACTTTCTAAACCATTACTCTCTTGAAAACAGGGCAGGAGTCTGGACTTCACCACTGGAACTACATTCTGGACTCCGAAATACCTGGTCATATTCGTAAACACAATGCTTACGCCCAAAAACAGCAACAGAAATTGCAGTAGTCTCAATGTCAGGGCCCTAGATTGATATGTTGTAATTGTTGTAGCATGGTATTTGCCTTCCTCCAATTTACTTAACTTTAACTTCATATTCACCTCGAATTTGAGTCAATTCCAACTTCAGGATATGGTTTGCTTGGTTTCACCAAAATTACTTGGTCGAAAAAATGCTTCCAAATTCAAGAATTTCAGAGGAATGTCGAACCTTTTTTCCCTCTAATGGCAAACCCAAGCTTTTCAATGGCATGTCCCAATAAGAATGGTGCACTGGGTTGGGTTATCACTCCTTGTTCATTTGATTCATAAGGGTTTCTTCAATAGCGAAAGCTGATTAAGCTTTGACTATTGACAAACCTTCAAAGTCACAAAGATGACTGGTACACGTACGTATTACCAATTGGGAGAGACGAGTAGATTTTTTAGCATTTAACCTCAAAAAGGAAGAAAGCTTCAATCAAGGCTACATTTTTTGGAAAGACATCATGACCCAAATAATGAAAATACAGGCAGGTAAGGAGGGAGAAGAAGAGCAAAACAGAAGGTGGGGATTGTTGGTTGAGTGTGGTATGGTTGGTTGTGATAAAGGATCAATTTATGGAGAATCAAAATCGTTTGAGTTTGTACAACAAAACTGATTCGTTTCACACTCTCTACATATTGACTTTAATTCCGCCAACCTGTTGTCAAATGGAATCTTAAAACGTCAAAATAAGGAAGAGTATTAATGAGGCTTGCCTGCCTTCATCTACGGGATGTTCGAACGTTGAATATGTAACTCAATATTCAATACGTAGTTTCAGAAAGAGGAGGAGAGAGAGAGAGAGAGCGCTTAGCAAGTGTGTAGAAGCTAGGAGATGCTGAAGCCATTTGTTGTGTTTTTTTATCGCAGTTTTAATATATTTTTAATCTATCGATATTTAATTCATGTGTTTTTTATATATAAAATTACTTATAAATATACATTAAGATTTTCTATACAAAATATATTTTGCAAACAAAAATTCATCAAAAAAAAAATGAATTTAAATCACAGTTTCATCCCATAAATAAATTACAAAACAAAAGGAAATATTAAAATTAAAGGAGGAAACTATTTTTTTTTTTAACTTTAAGGAAGTAGGATTTTGCCAATAGCTTCACGCCAACTCAAATTTATCAAAAATCAATTGCGATTGTGCAGATTCTTGTGTTAATCGAGTCAAGTTTATTAAATTTAAATATGCTTAAATTCAATATAATTTTAATTGATTGAGTTTGATTTTATAGTCAAATTAAAATTTTTCTCCATGTTCAAAACATTAGAAACTCGTGAGTATTCAAGCCCATAAGCATAATGTCTCAACAAAAGTTTCCAAAAACTTTATTATTAATCTAAAAATAATCACATAATCTCATACAAAATTAGAATTGTTTTAGAAAAAATTGGTTGTTTATGTTTTCAATAGGAATTGTTTGGCTATAAAAGTTAATATATTCATAGACACAAGCAAATCCACCTGAGTCAAGTTATATTACTTACCTTCAACTCATTTATGTTCTGATTGGTAGGAATAATAAAAAATATGAGGGATACACTTTCTATCATTAAATGATAGAAAGTAGGAATGATACATTTTCCTTCCTTTGTGTATGGTTGGATTGATGGAAAATAAAAATAATAATTTTTTTTTTGTGATAGTTAAGATTAGATTTGACAATCGAGTAGTGTCGTGTCAGATTCATATCAAATTATAAAATTATGAGCCTTTTTATATTTTTTATTCGCGTGTCAGGTTATTTTCAAGTTATAATCAAGTTCGTGTCATAAAATTTGTGTCTAGTTCGAGTCGTGTCATCGTATTGAGTCGAAAATTTTTATCCTTAGTTAAAATGAAAAAAAAATAATAATTTAAATTTTTTATTTTTTATTTTTTAAAATATATATAAATACATATTTTATCATTATATTTTTATACGAAATTAATATATACATAACATATATCTATATAATAAAGTAACTTACAATTCAAATCTCAAAAGATAAACAAAATGACTTTTACTATTCGCAGTTGAGATCGCCTTAAATTTTACTTTAAAGTTTATCTAACGGCTAATATTAATATCTTAAATTTAATAGAGAAAATAGGTTCCTAAGGATGTGTTTGGAATGACTTTTTAAAAGTAATTTTAAAAATTATTTCTCATAAATACTTAAAAAAAATTTGTATTTGAAATCACCCGCTACTACCATTACCACTATCACCGCCGCCGTCGCCGCCACTGCCACCGCCTACTTTACCGCCACCCCCACCACCATTTGTCACCGCCTTAACCACCACCGCTACTGTCACTGCCACTGTCATTGCCACCACCTCCATCACCATCACCGTTGTTGTTGTTGTCACCACCACCACCACTGTCGTCGTCGTCACCACCATCACCATTGTCGCCGTCGTTGCCCTCACCGCCACTGTCGTCTATCACCTCTCACCCCTATTACAAATCAATGTTTAAGTTTATTTATTTTTTCTCTCTCAGTTTATGATTTGATTTTTGATTTTGATTTTTGATATAAATATGTTTATTATTTACCATTTTTTATTACTCTGTGTCTTTAGGCACATGCAATAACTAGTAGACAAATAAGATACATCTCAACACAAATAATTAACTTTCCATTCACTTTCCTTCTGATTTTAGAGAGATTGATTTTTGTGAATTAGAAGAAAAGTTAATCCATCAACTTTTTCATCCTTCCTACTTTCCTTCCTTGTCAAACATGATATTTTTATCTATCATTTCAACTTTTCATCATTTAAATTTGTTATCATTTTATTTTTTCATTATATCAAACGGAGTATTAAAAAATAAATTTTATTTAATATTTATAAAGTGAAAGGTTGTAATTGAGCCAAAACCAAATCTAACTCAAATTGTTAGGTTGGTTAATAGCCTAACCAGCAAGCAAGCGGACCAAAATGTTTAGCCTGACATTAAATATGAGTTGAGCTTAGGGTGGGCCTTAGTGGGCTGAGCTATTAAAGAGGTTAGGGTCGGACCTCTCAGTAGAGTGTGGGTAGCCTGGCTCAAGTAAGCCATGCCTATATGTGGAGCATCCCGTGGACTTTTACGTTGAAGATTCTTATTAATCTCATGGGCAGCTCAATGGTAACAAAAATACACCGTAAACTCAGATATTTTAAATTAAATTTTAATAATTTTTGAAATTAAATTATAAAAAATTTATGAAAAATATTTTAATTTTGGTGTAAATGATTTTCTTTTGACTAGGTCAAGGAGAAGATTAGTTGAGATGCCTGTAAGTCGATTCAAACACCATTGATCATTGGAAAAAAAAACAATTCTTAAAACTATATTCAATGCTTACTCTTTTTTAAAATCTTTTTTTTTAAAAAAAAAAGAGTAAAAACTTTTAAAAATCTTCTCCAATGTTAGATTTATACCCATATGAAATGAAAAAAAAAATATTTTTACATTCAAATCAAGTTAGATGTTTTTTTAAAGCCAAATATTTAATAGTAAGATTATACTCTCTTTCAAGGTTCAATAATTATATTTTATTTCTTTTTAAATTTGAATTTCTCTTCTTTTAAAAATAATTTGTCTATTAAAAAAATTTATACTAAATTAAAATTTTTTATTATTTATTTTATTCAAATTTAAATAAGAGTTTTTTTTTGATCGAATTTAAATAAAAGTTTGAATATCAATTGAAGATGTTCTTTAAGTGAACGGAGGGGATCATAGTATACACGGACGTGATAAAAACCCTTGTATACGTCATTTTTGTAATGGATTGTGCTCGAGTGTTTCTTTGTTCTTGTACTTCTCCTGCCGAGTTTTTTTATTTATTTTAAGTCAGTTATTACTACGGATTGGAGCTGCTCAACAGTATTATAAAAAAAAACTTGGTCATTAGACTTCATTTTTTTTAAAAGTCTTAAATTTTTAAATATTATAAATAATTTATGAAAAAATTAAATTCATAAATATATTAAGTCCTAGAAAAAGGCCTTATAAAAATATAACTCCAATAAAAAAAATTAAGGCCTCACTTCAAGAAAGGCTCTATAATTTATAAGTGTGCTGAGTAATAGTCTAACTGAAAAATTTAAATTAATGCCCAAACAAAAGATTTCATGTCTAAAATTTATTTTTTTTAAATAAAGAAAAAAATAATTGTAAAACTAAAAATACTGAAAAATTTAATTTTAACCTCCAAAAAAATCAAGTTTAAACTTACAATCATAATTTTCAATCATTCTTTCTTTTTCTTACCATTAAGTTCAAATATAATAAAAAAAACTTGAATATAAAATTTTAATTAATATTTTAATTTATTATTAATATTAAAAATAAAAAATCGTATTTATCGTTACTGTTTTAANAAAAAAACTTGAATATAAAATTTTAATTAATATTTTAATTTATTATTAATATTAAAAATAAAAAATCGTATTTATCGTTACTGTTTTAAATCCCAAAATGTCTCAGACCACAACTGACTAGAGGAGAGGAGAGGGGAGGGGGACGACAAAATTCAAACTCGAAACTTAAGTCATACAATAGAGACGTAGAAAAAATAATTGTCCTTTCAATTTTACTTTATCACAAATTTAGTCTTAGGGTGTTAATTAATTTTTTTGGGTCAATATTCTAAAAAAATGTGTTTATTGAAATTGTCTTACTAGTTAAAAGTTAAAATTCACATAAATAAAAAGCAAGGGGAAATTTTGCCACAAGTAGAATAACAGTGTTGCATAGAGATAACAAATATTGTTACAACACGGCGTCGTTTCTCCAATTGTTAGCACTTTGTTTGGCTATGAACACTCCTTTTCCTCGACCAAAATTATATCCTCATCCTCCATTTCTGCCGCCGATTTTTGCAGTAATACTGGCAACACAACCATGGCCACCATGCCCAGCGTCGGCTTTCGACGACTACACTCTGGTCCATGGCTTCACAGTTTCCGTACTACTCGACCACCCTCACGTTCTCTCTGTACACTCGCTTGTCTAAGTGCTTCTCCCTTGTCATCTTCATCTTCAATCGAAGACTCGGAAGAGACTCAACTGTCCGCTGCCACCACCACCGCCGCCGACGCCACAACTACAACGAAGCCTAACAATAAGATTAATAACAAGCCGTACTTCCCAAAGCGAGGCGAAACGTTGGAATTGATATGTGAAACCCTGGCTTTCAAAGGCAAAGGAGTGTGCAAAGTGGCTGACACGGGTTTCGTGGTCATGTGCGATCGTGCCCTCCCCGGTGAACGCTTTCTCGGTCGCGTAACCCGTAGAAAGGACAATTACGCCGAGGTTTAGTAACTCCTTTATCTTCGAATTTCAATTCAATTACTTTTTCTGTTCGGTTAGATTCGTGAGAAAACTAACAATAACCAAAGGACGTTTTCTTGTAAAACAGAAAATTTTGCGTGTGTTTTGTTGATTTTGAGAGTGAAAGATGCTGAATTGTGTTTCGACAACTAAAAATCCGCAAAATTACTTTCACTATCTAACCAAGCAATGCCTAAATTGCATCTTTCAAGTATCATCTCGAGTTCTTTCTTTTTTCGCTTTACTTGTGAGGAAATCGCGCAAAAGTATGATTTTTTCCTGAGAAAAATAAAGCAAGGTAAGTCTTAAAAATGTTAGCCAAACAGTTTCTAAATTGCTTCTCCTTTGTTGACCTGTATTTCATCTCAAGATGACATTCGATAGTGGTGCCAATTCTATTTCTTTTTAGTCGTGTTCTGATTCTGTGAGATGATGTATGATGTTGTATTGGTCTGTAAGGAAGGTGAAGAAGTTGAAGACCATAACCCCTCATTTGGACTACGTGGAGGCCCCGTGTGAATATGCTTTGGATTGTGGAGGTTGTAAAAGTCAGAACTTGTTGTATGAAGCTCAAATCCGGGCTAAGGAACAGCAGGTTCGTGAGTTGGTGGTGCACGTTGGGAAGTTTTCTGATAAGCACCCAGAATTTGCTAGCATCATGAAGCCAATTGTTCCGTGTGATACACAATTTTATTATAGGAACAAGGTTAGTAATGAACTCAACCGCATGCAAGCTAGCTTTTTAAGATATGCTGACCACATTTTGCCTGCTTCTGTTCAGTGACAAACTTAACTTATCATGGTATGGCAAGCTTGAACATGTGTGATGTTTGTCAATACTCATACCCCCACCCCACCCCCCAAAAAAAAAAAATCACACACACATCATATGAAGAAGAGAACAAATAATAATTTTTTTTTTGTGGTTTTGGAGATGGAGTTCTCATTTGGCTCTAAAAAGTGGGTACCGGAGGAACTGTTACAAGAGGAACATGTCGGCACCAATGACTATGCTTTGGGACTGCATGCTCCTGGCTTTTTTGATAAGGTTCTTAATGTCACCAAGTGCTTATTACAGAGTGAGCCAGCCAATAAGGTAAGCTGATTGTTATCTGAATTACAAGATTTCTGTTTTGCAATAACTGTCCATTAGTTGTCACAGATTTTTTGTAGTTATTTGTTGTGTTTCGCTAAGTCATACACATTCTGATTCATAGCTTGCCGTTAATCTGGTGATGGACCTCCTACTTTAGGTGCTATGTACTGTGAAGTCCAAATCCACAGCTCAAAATGCTCGACATTATCCATCCAGTTGGTTCACATTGATACTAAGAGCTGATTTTTTGTCTTGCAAAGTAAAGGCAAAATAGTTCATTTTTTTTTTCTTTCTACTAGTTACTTCAGCTGGTATTTGTTTGCGATCACAGCATTCTTGCATCTGATATTGTATGTCAGTATGTCCATTTGTGTCGAACTAACCTTCCGGTTCTGTTTGGTATCCTATAGTGATTTGTGTCATATCTTGCTATAAACTGTATTTCTGATTTATAGGTTCTTGCAGCTGTTCAAGATTGTTGGAGGGATCCTCAAATTGGCCTTTCTCCGTATGATGTCCACTCTCATGCTGGATTTTTGAAGCATCTAATGCTAAGAACTGGAAGGTACTCAGATATTAGTTCTTATGTAATGAAAAATCATTATGCAATCAACATTTGACCTTGTGACGGTTCTCATAACAGTGGAAGACACTCATGTGATGTGAATCCGAATTCNTGTTGGAGGGATCCTCAAATTGGCCTTTCTCCGTATGATGTCCACTCTCATGCTGGATTTTTGAAGCATCTAATGCTAAGAACTGGAAGGTACTCAGATATTAGTTCTTATGTAATGAAAAATCATTATGCAATCAACGTTTGACCTTGTGACGGTTCTCATAACAGTAGAAGACACTCATGTGATGTGAATCCAAATGCACCATGTGGACTTGCTCTTACATTTTCTAGCCCGAAACAATGTATACTCTGTATACCACATGATTGTATGATAAAGAGGTGACTTGAGCAGCTAGCAGTCAGTTGGTTTCCAAAAGTATACATTATCCAAGAATTTTGGAGCCCTTCCGTAATTTTTTCGGAGAATTTCTATGAGATACTGTGATGCAATGAATTGGGTATTGGTTTTATTTTATTTTTAGTTTTTCTTGCTAAACTTGTGAATTACATGCAAGGCATGTATCTAATTGAGACTAAACTTATTTATGTTGTTGAAGGAAGTGTGAAGTGCTCTTGAAATTTTGTACCATACAAGATGTATTATAATGTTTGTCATTTACAACATCTGTTTATAATTCCTTTCAATGCATTTTGGAGTGGTNCTTGCTAAACTTGTGAATGACATGCAAGGCATGTATCTAATTGAGACTAAACTTATTTATGTTGTTGAAGGAAGTGTGAAGTGCTCTTGAAATTTTGTACCATACAAGATGGATTATAATGTTTGTCATTTACAACATCTGTTTATAATTCCTTTCAATGCATTTTGGAGTGGTTCACCTCTGTGGTGCATGTTTCGCCTCACCAATGGATGCATGCACCTGACACCCAACCCACAACATTTAGTGCTTTCGGCTGTGTGTGCTCTTTTAAGTAATAGCATTGTTTTTGCTTTAGTTTTTTGATTTTTTTTTTCCTACAGCTTGTTTCTTTCCCCATAATCTGAAGGTTAAGCCGCTACTATTAAAAGCTTGACTTTTCAATTTTTCCATTTCAGGGATGTTGAGACTGGTCTGCCTGAGCTTATGGTTAATTTTGTGACTTCGTCTAACAAACCAGAGCTGTTGAAGCCACTCGTTGAGAGAATTGCAACTATTCCTGAAGTGGTGGGTAATTAAGGTTTAAAATATTTTATGCTTACCTCCTTCTGTGAAACAGCTCTCGAAGAAACTACTTTTGCAAGCTGTGGTGCTCCCCAAGTGGTAGTCTTTTTTTTTGTTTGAATGTTTTCCATGCTGTCCTTCTTCTAATCGCTTCTTAGTAGTTTAGTGACTATATCTCAGGTCCTTTTTTATTCGCAAGTCTTTGAAGTTTTTACATCTGTGCTTGTGTTCTGCTGATAGTTTATTGCTATCCACGTGTAAGCAGACACATTACTGATTTTCCTTTTAGTTGGGGAAAAAAAAAAATTGGAGGGCAAGTCTTGCACATGATATTACCAAATAATCTTCCTGTAGGTTGGACTTTTGTTACATTTTATTCATTTTTCCCCCTTTTGGTGGCGGGTAGGTAAGCGTTGTGAACAATGTAAATACATCTGTTGGCAACACATCTGTTGGGGAGGAGGAATACACTTTGTATGGGAAGTCTACTATCACAGAGAGTTTGAGAGGACTGACATTTCAAATTTCAGCAAACTCTTTCTTCCAGACAAATACACATCAGGTATACAAAAAAGAGAAATTGAACAGCTCGCAATCCTTGCTTTCTTGTTTTTTGTTTTGTAGTGTTTTGTGTGAGTTTCCGATTTTCTCTTTGTTGTTGTTTCGCTTGACTGTAATGACAAGAGCTTTACTCTGTACAGGCAGAGATTCTGTATAAACTTGTAGAAGATTGTGCCAATCTCAAAGGAGATGGGTCTGAAGTAGTTCTTGACCTATTTTGTGGGACCGGAACGATTGGTCTAACACTTGCCAGAAGGTAAATTTTTTGTTAGTCCAATAAGTAAGTGTAGTTAAAACGTTTAGACTGTGAAAGAAAACGGAGATAACAAAGGTAAGAGAGTCCCAGAGGCATGTTTATGGTTTTGAAGTAGTTGTTGAAGCCATCTCAGATGCCCGTCGGAATGCCAAGCTGAATGGAATTTCTAACGNTTGTTTCCATTCTCTCAGGGTCAGGCATGTTTATGGTTTTGAAGTAGTTGTTGAAGCCATCTCAGATGCCCGTCGGAATGCCAAGCTGAATGGAATTTCTAATGCCACATTTTTCCAGGGGGATCTTAATAAAATAGATGAAAGCTTTGGGAATAAGTTTCCGCAGCCTGACATCGTCATTATAGGTAATCTTCTTACATATATTGTTTATGTAGCTCAATGGTTTTGGAAACTTTACTGTCCTTTTTGTAAACAACCATCTACTCCAAAAGCTTAACCGGTTGGAGAGAGTGTAACTTAAGGATCCATTCTTCAACACGCCCCCTCACATGGAGGCTAGACTTTGGGCCTAGCACATGGAAATCTTTTAATAATTAGGATGGCAGTGAGATTCAAACACATACTATGTTAAACAACAATCTACTCTAAAAGCTTAAGTTGTTGGAGAGCTTGTAAATNTGGAGGCTAGACTTTGGGCCTAGCACATGGAAATCTTTTAATAATTAGGATGGCAGCGAGATTCAAACACATACTATGTTAAACAACAATCTACTCTAAAAGCTTAAGTTGTTGGAGAGCTTGTAAGTTAAGTATTTATTCTTCCACAATCGCCAAATGAAGTATCATGAGGGTAAGGAGTACCAACAAAACCGTATGAAACGAACCAAAAGCAATACGAAATTCATAAAAGTGACATATTGGAGTAGAGTTATAGTACTGCCTCTTGTGGCAGGCTAAAAAGTACTCAACTAACAAAAAGTAATTAGGACAATTGCATTGTCAACTTGNACCGTATGAAACGAACCAAAAGCAATACGAAATTCATAAAAGTGACATATTGGAGTTGAGTTATAGTACTGCCTCTTGTGGCAGGCTAAAAAGTACTCAACTATCAAAAAGTAATTAGGACAATTGCATTGTCAACTTGAGTTGATTTAAAAAATGATGATGCCTTCTTGTGTATTTACTTATAGGATCTGTTTTTGCCTTTTCTTTCCCATCTGACTGCTGTTATATTTGAATTTGTTGGCATCTTTTGAATGAATTAGACGGTCATGCGAGATTTTGAACTGTCTTTTTTTCCGGAAGGTAGAGATTTTGATTTGTCATCTTGTAGCAGAGTGCATTATCTGAGCGGAGGAAGAGGGAAAAGAATTGTTTTCCAATTGCTGGTTATTCTGTTGTGTATAGATGTGCAGTGTCATTGCCATGTTGCAATATGGAGTGCGCTTAATTTTAAGTTTTCCCCTACTTCCCTTTGTGTACATTTCGGGGGTGGCAAAAAGAGGCATTTTTTATTTACCAAGCTATGTAAGCTCTATGTTGGTCAATGAGTTATACCTTGTCAAAAATGATTTGATGGTTCTCTCAAGAAGCATATACGTTGGAGTTGTAACCCAGTAATGGAAATTTGGAAGAAAATTTAATATACCTCTATCAGTTATTTCAAGATGGCTAGAAGGTACTAGTACAGCAAGCATTACACCATCAATATTATGGAAATAGTTGTGTGAACTGAAGAAAATTTTAGGTTCATCATTTGAACTTGATTTGAACATGACCGAACTGAATTGCTCACATTTGTTTTAATGTGTCAAACCCTGCAGATCCAAACCGCCCAGGCATGCACATGAAACTGGTTAAATTTTTGCTGAAGCTGAAGGCTGCACGCATTGTTTATGTATCTTGTAATCCTGCCACATGTGCACGTGATCTTGATTATCTCTGTCATGGTGTGGTTAGTATCAGTATTTCGATCAAAGTTTTTCGTCTCCTCATTTCAGTTATTTGTCCGTATTACAATCTTTATGCAGCCTGAGAAAAACATTGGAGGATGTTACAAACTGAGAAGCTTACAACCAGTGGACATGTTCCCTCACACTCCGCATATTGAATGCGTTTGCTTGCTGGAGCTTTCTTGATTCCTGTTGTTAGCAGTTTTTCATCACTACACTTTTGACCTTTCATGTATCGTTTGCTTTCCCAACTTTTTGGGGCTACGCTGGCACTATTATCAGTGGGATTGCAAAAGTTTTTGAAGGATATTTGGTCTATTTGTTTGTCTGCAGCTTTTGCAGCCGTGTTTAAACTTTGATTTTGTCCGGTAGCTAAAAAGGCGGCAATGAATGACAATAAAGAGAAGAGTTAGAGGATCAGCACAGCTTTGAGAGTTTGCAAGGATTATTGATTTGTTGTAGCTTTGTAAGTAATTATTTGTAGTTTTGATGCTTATATCATTATATATTCATTTACTTCACAATTCTACTTGATCTATTTCTTTTCTTTTTTTCAAATGAAACAAGTCTTTCGTTAAACAAAATACAGAGTGCTCCTTGATCTATTTAAATTCGTGTTCAGTTAGTGGATAAAAACAGTGGAGTGTACTTTTGTGGTTTATTTCGCTAGTTGTGCATGTCAGCCATCATGAATGAAGGGTTGAGCTGATATCGGACGTTAAATTTTCTGTCACTCAGGCCAGAAGAAGCAAAGTCCATCGTTAGGTTTGAAACAAGAAAAAAAAAACAATCCAGTATAGAAGACTCCCATTACTGTTGGGCGATGAGATGTATGCAGCCTTAGTTCCGCGCTCGAAAGAAAACCACAGATATAAAAACCAGTAGAACCAAACTGAGGGGGAAGATTGCATGACTTGAAGAAAAAAGGAAGCAGCAAAGTGAAAACCAATTGCTTTGTCAATCTTCCATATATATTTTAACAGCAATTAATGTAAAACTATGATGATGGTGAAGATGAACAAAATCCTATGCTAAAACACCTTATGAAGTGTGTAGAAAATGGTCTGTCTTTGGCCTAGGGTCTCATGGATACAAGATATAATGTGTTTTGATGATATAACCTAGCCATACTGTTTCCTTTCTTCTTGTATACAGCGGAAAATCCGAGCTGCTGATTCAGATGCTGATTTAGAGTTGTAAGGCACAACCTTGATCACCCCTATCTGCTGGTCAGTAC